TTGGTGGCCCCTAGTTCTTGTATTATGGGAATGCGTAAATAAACTTTTCCTTATTCACTTTCTCCACACCACTCATGATTTTATATACCACTATCATATCTGCCCTTAGTCTCCTCTTTTCCAAGCTGATCGGGCAAACAAACATCAACACTAGGCCCATGATGACCGCCGACGTGAACATCTGTCATGTTTTTGTGGCACCAGCCTTTTTTCTCCCATTTACAGTGCGTTTAGAACCCAAGTCTTAGAAGCTGAAGATCCACCAGTTATCTACAGGATAGACAACTGCAATGAACCTGTCCCAACATACCTCATTCCTGACTAAGAAGAGCCAACTAAATGATTAAGGGTGTCTACCCAGCAGCTGGTGGGAGGTGTGATTCCCAGTTCAGGTAGGTATAGAGAGATTAGATAGATATTAGCTCTGCTCAAGCTAACACACTAAAAATAGCAGCAGTCTAAGCTAGTCACCCAAATAAAATCCCACCTCTGAGTATGTATGCATGAGGCCAGCGTGAGCCATTGCAGCCATATCACTATTTTTAGTGCTAACACTGTCTTGAACTAGTGCACATCTATATCTACTGGAGGTAGGAATCACTCTCCCAGCTGCTGTGTAGACATACCGCAAGAGGTGATTTCTTGCCCAAGTCCCATTAATCACCAGCTTCTCTGTTAAGGCTGCCAAAAAGGGTGTGAGTAAGTACCATTTATGATGGGTTTTTTTGCCATGTGGACACCTGTCCATTAGTGACCGGTCCGAGACACCAAAATCATTCTTTACATAGATCACTGAATAACCACCAGATGGTAACAATTTTTACTCACTGCTACTCTAAGAGGCTGAACATGAATATACAAGATTTTGTATCCAATTACCCAACCACATAGCCGCATATTTCTGCCTGACGTAAGAAAGTATCTTCCGGAAATAAACCGAGAGCTTTGGTGAAAAGCGGACACAAGCGCCACATCTGAAGGAACATCTTACATCCTTGCATAACAGATCTCAGAAGCGGAAAGAGGATGCGTCCAGTATTCCATTGTGAATTTGGTATTGAATAAGACCTCGTTCTTCATTCAATACAAGGCTCCAATTCATCACCAGGGAAATTGCTGAGATCATAAACTCCCAGCGCTCGAGCTGGAAATCAATGGAGGAGGAGGGATTCTGATTCTAAATATAAAACCTAAAAAGGATACATAACAGGGACACTCCAAGTGTGTTTAAGCACTAAAATATACCAGCCTTAAAAGCATCGGTGCCTGGGGAGGCGCTCAGCCCCAGACCCCAGCACCACGCCATCCATTCCCACAAGCTCCCACGCCCACCTCTCTCTGCCCCCACCTCTCTCTGCCTCCTCTCCCAGTGTGCCCCATCCCCGCTCCTCCCCCTCCCTCCCAGCACCTCCTGCATGCCGGGGAACAGCTGATGGTGGCAGCCAGGAGGCGCTGGGAGGAGTTGATCGGCTGGGGCACCCACAGAGTTAGCACCTATGCTTAAAAGCAAGTGAAAATTCCCTGGAGCATCTGTCACAGTTCAAGGCAACTGCACCAGTATTCCCTCTTTGTGGTCCAGCAAGGGCACCCACTTGTAGGCTTCTAGCTCCCCAGCTATCACCTCTCTTGGCAGGAGACTGTCTCCCTTCAGACCAGGGTTTTTCCAGGCTGCACAGTTCCCAGCCTACATTGTGATATCCCCAGCAAGCCAGATGGCCCAAACAGCCAGCAACTGCACACTGCTTTCTCACCAGAGGCGATAAACAGCACAGCTGCCCACAGTGATAAGTTACCCACACAGCCCTTTCTAAGCAAGCACATTTACTATTAAGGTGAAAGCATGACAGAGAAAACAGATTAAGAACAATAAAAGAACCTACATGCCAGCTAATCAGTTTACCAGAGATCACCCTCAGCTCCAACAAGGGGGTAAGTGATCATTCCTTCAAACCCCTCCTAGGGTTCTTTTGTGAGCGGTCACAATTTTATATCAGCTTTCGCTCCGAATACACACAGTCACGGATAGTTAATTCTTTCCTTTATACAGCTTGGGCTTGAGGCCAAGATCAAAGTAGCAGGTGAACAGCAGACAATGGTTCTCTTCTCAGGGCATAGCTTCAAAAGGCTGGGTCTTTGCAAAATCCCTCCTCTGGTTATGCATTCACCTCCTCTCCAGGACACCAACTTGAACTTTGTCCCAAAAGTTCATTCTTGCCTAGCAAATAGTCCTCTGAAGCTCCTAACATCTCCCAGGGTTCACACTGGTCACATCTCCCTCTTAGCAAAGTTACATATGCGCCCACAATAATGGATACATTTTGCATTTTTAATACAGTGGGCTCCAAAGCTATTTCAACTTTATTCAGTAAGGCTTTTTAAAGGAAATTGCTAGATCTTTCAGAGCATCCTTTCGGGATAACCTTTTTTAAAAATAAAAGTTTGGGTGCTGAGCAACCAACTTATCTTCAACACTTTTGCTTAACGCAACTATTAATGTCTGGCTTTAAATACACACAACTCTTCTCTCAGACCATAGAGTGGCATTACATTCTTCCCACCAAGCAATGATTTATATGCATCTGTTACTTAAAGGAAATAAAGTCTGGCAAATGCCAGAGTGATGGCATAACGTTCACTGCATTTGTCTCCCTAGATTACCATGTCGTGGGGAACAGAGGGTAATCCTGTAATTATTGCGGTATGCTTACCTCTCACTTTGCTAGTATCGAAATTAGTGGAATAACTCTCCTCTATGCAAGCCATTCCGGAGGAGAAGAGGGTGAGGTCTCCCCCACGTAGGGTGACCAAATGTCCCGATTTTATAGGAACAGTCCCGATTTTGGGGTTTTTTTCTTATATAGGCTCCTATTACCCCCCACCCCGTCCCGATTTTTCACACTTGCTGTCTGATCACACTCTCTATTAAATCAGTTCCTAGAGGCCAAGCAGAGGATGAACCAAGCCCTGCAATTCTTTTTTCGTTGTTTACAACCCAAGAGATGTCACTGTCCTAGTTCCCTGGTTTAGTGTGTAGGAGCAGGCGTTTTCTTTGCTGCCCCCTGTGCTGTTACTGTCCAGTTGCTTTTTAAAGCAGTCAGACAACATTATGGGCCCGATTCCAGCTTCATTAAATAAGTGCAGAGCTGTCAGAGGGGGCAGGGGGCCTCTGACCTCCATTCACCATTCTGATCTGGTAGCATTTTACATTCACCTTGCTTTGTGTACCCAGGCCTTCCATCTAGAACTAAAGGTAACTCCTGGAGAATAGAAACAGTCATGGCAGAAGCATTCTCCCAAAGATACACCGCTCCTTACTGAGTCAATGTCATCTCTCTGTAACAGCAACCACTGAAAACCAAGATGAGCATGCTTGAGATAAAAAACAGCTGATCAGTGCCCCTGCATAAAATGTCCGATAATCCCTGCACAGACAAGGCATCTGGCGTCCACAGCAGGATCCCAGAGAGATGAACGTGAAAACTATCCACTGCATAGTCCCCTAACCTTTCCCTGACATCAGGAAAAAGAGACCCTGATTCATCCCCCCGCAGCAACAGCGTGATGTTAGCAGAGGAAGGCATATATAGCCTAGTGACAGACTCTGGAATCTGAGAATGAAAGGGGAAAGCACTAGGAAATGTTGTGCCAGGTTTTAGAAGAGAGGATGAGACAAGGAGGAAGGTGGTGTCGAACTCCTTTAATCCCCCACCCTTGGGTGCCATGCTTAGCACCCTCCAGCTAGCGAAGCACAAAGAGCTGCTCCGATTGCCATGCAGTGCTTTCTAAAAATCAGGAGAGCTTTTCTGTTCAGTCTACAGCCAGCAATGAGTTTCAAAGGGAACAGGCCTGATCCTTCCCCCCACCACACACACCCCTGCTGATCCCCACTAGATCACACAAGCGGGTTGGAAACCTTGCTGTGAAATTTCACGTTCTCGCCTAGCAAATGCTTGAGACGTGACCCCAAGTGCAGCAGCCCCTGAAAACCCATTTAACATTTTTGATTTCCTCCACCGGGCAGCTCCTCCAGAGATAAACCCGGGGGGCTAACCAGCACCGGGGCCTAGCAGCCCAGAGGAGAGCTGCTCTCTGACAGATTTGGATAGCTAGCATCTCAGTGAGAGAGAGGATCTCACGCTACTGGGCCCATGTTACACGCCTGGCCCTGTAACATTTCCCATGCCAGGATCCATGGGGCTGCCCAGAGAATAGCCTTTGAAAGGCTGCACTCGACCCAAGCCCTTGGATTTATGGGCAAGGCAGCAGGTGGGGAGAGCTTTGCAGCCTCCCTGGATTTAATCCATCCCCCCCACCCCCTGTCACAAGCTCGTTTCACTCCCTCCCTGTCTGCAGAGTCTCACGCTGGGACCCCCTGGTGTAATACACCCCGCAGCCATCCACTGGGGAACCCCCTGGGGACAGCCCCCCTGCGGTGCCATGCCGGGAAATCCCCCTCCCCGCAGTGCAGGGGAGCAAGGGCAGAACAGCTCTGGGGGGGGTTGGGGGGTGTCAGCGGCAGCCAGAAAGCTGCCCGGGGAGGGGGTAAATGCACAGCTCTGATCTGCAGAGGAAAGCAAAGCACGTCCTGCCTGCCCTGGGCTTGAGCGCCTGCCTGCAGCGCGGCTCCCTGGCCTTAGCTGTTTGTGACCCCCCCACACACACATGCAACACAACACACACACACACACACACACACACACACTCCCCACCACTCTTCCACCGGCCGTCAATCAACGCACCCCCCCCCCATCTCTCAAAGCCCCTCTGAGACACAGCAGCTGCGGCCCCAAGGGGCTAGTCCGGGCTGGCTAGCACTAGCCACCCCGGCTGGGCTGGGCTGTCAGTACCTTCGGGAGTGGGGTGGGGAGGAAAACTGGGGGGGGGTGGGGAGGAGACTGCAGCGCCCCCAGCCCCCTCTCCTTGCATTGACACGTCCCCAGTAAAACCAGCTCGCCCAGCACCCCGGATTCGGCTCGCCCAGCGCCGCGCCCGTGATTTACCTTCTCCTGGGCTCGGGTGAGTTTCTTCTGCATGTTGCTGGCTATTTTCCCCGCGGTGACTCCCTTGCCCATCTCAGCCATCTTGCCTTGCCTGCCTTTCCCCCCGCGCGGCTGCACTAATCAGAGCAGGAGGGACGCGGGGGAAACCCGGAGCGAAACAATGGCCATCCCCTTCTCCAGGAGCCAGGCGCCAGGATACAGCCTTTTAAAGACACAGCGCCCCAAAGCCGCGGCCGCTTCTTAAAGGGACCGCTCGCTCTGCGACTGACGGCTTCCTCCTACGACACAGCGCACAGCCCGGGCTGCAAGGGGGCAGGCCCCAGCAGGGAGAAATCTCTGCTCACACCTATCAGCCCTCCTTTAACTTTCCAAGCCATTCCTCCCCCGCGCCCTCGCATCAGCTCTGCACCCACTCTGAAGCTCTCTGAGCATCTTTATGCCATTTGGTTCAAGTCCTTATCGAAATGTATTTAGGCAAAGCGCAACAAACCCAAAAGCCATTCAGAACTTCAGGGGGATGGACCGCCGACTCTCCTGCTTCTAAAGCACTGCTCACTACAACCTGAGCCAAAAGGTGCCCTTCGCTACGCCCAGATCCTCAAAGGTATTCCGGTGCCTAACTCCTTTGGGACGCTCTGGGCCTTAGTTTGTAGCCGTGCGGGGCCTCTGACACGTATTTGAATGGTTCTGAGCCTCCCCAATAGAGTGTCTGAAAAAGTTGTATTAGAATTGGGAAAGGTACAGAAAAGGGCAACAAAAATGATTAAGAGGGATGGAACAGCTTCCGTATGAGGAGAGATTAAAAACCGTGGGACTGTTCAGCTTGGGAAAGAGACAACTAAGGAGAGCAATATGACAGAAGTCTATAAAATCATGACTGGTGTGGAGAATATGAATAGGGAAGTGTTATTTACGCTTTCTCATAACCCAAGAACCAGGGATCACCCAATGAAATTAACAGGCAGTAGGTTTAAAACAAACTTAAGGAAGTACTTCTTCACACAAAGCACAGCCAACCTGTGGAACTCATCACCAGGGGATGTTGTGAAGGCCAAAACTATAACTGGGTTCAAAAAAGAATTAGATAAATTACTGGAGGAGAGGTCCATCAATGGCTATTAGCCAAGATGGTCAGGGATGCAAGCCCATGTTCCGGGGGTCCCAAAGCCTCTGACTGCTGGAAGCTGGGACTGAGGGTGGATCACTTAATGATTACCTGTTCTGTTCATTCCTTCTGATGCCCCTGACATTGGCCACTGTCAGAAGACAGGATACTTCCTAGATGGACCATTGGTCTGACCCAGTCTGGCCGTTCTTATGTTCTAGGGCAACAGTGACACCTGCACATCTGCCATTTCATCTCAATACTGTTATTACTATTATTAATATTGCAGTTTATTTATTTTACTGCCATGCTGCCGTGGGCCAGGACCCCACTGTGTACAAACACAGAACAAAAAGACAGTCCTTGCCCCCAAAAGCTTACAATCTAACTGTAAGACAAGAGACAACGGATGGATACGGACAGACAGAGGGTTGGTCAGCGTGATGGGCAGCCATCTCAGCACCCCAACTGCCTAACCATTGTTAAATTTAGCACCCATAAGAATGCTAGATACATAGCAGAAAACATAGAGAACACAGGTAGGGCCATGCTCCAAAAGGCTTAGAGTCTAATTGATAGACAGGACCGACAAGAGACCCAGCACAGGGAAAGGGAGAGGCAAGGAAGGATATGGATTACAGAAACAGGCTAACGTTTAGGAACACATACATTCCCCTTGGTCGTTCAGACACGGCATATGAACAATTCATTGGCTATGTTTTTAATTGAGGAGTAAGCATACCCATTTTTGTAGACAGAGCTGCAGTCTCAGGGCTTGTCTACGTAACGCTGACAGACCCCGGTTGTTGACGGGCAGGATTGAACCGCGGACCTCAATGCATGAGCTAAAAACCACACGGCTCTTAGCTAAGGTTGTAGAGCAGACTCATTAACCTCTCTCTAAATGGTCTCGGTGCCGCTAGATAGGACAGAACCCCACACCCAAGAAGTGTGTGGGTTACATCTACACTTACTGCTGTAGTGCTTAGTGTAGACGCTACTCATGCCGACCGGAGAGGTTCTCCTGTTGGCATAGGTACTCCACCTCCCCGAGAGGCGGTGGCTATGTCGACAGGAGAAGCCATCCCATCGACATGGCACTGTCTACACCAGGGGTTAGGACGGGATAACTCCATCGCTCAGGGAAGGGGAAGTCTGAACCTGACACTAAGTGCAACAGGGAGTCAATGAAGTGGCTCGGTGAGGCATGTGATGTGGGCAAAGCAAAGGATGTGAAGGCAGGCTGGAGTGAGAAGAGGTTAATACCTGAGGCAGTAGAAGACCAGATCACTGGCAAGGGATAGAGCAATCAGGAGGGAGCTCTCTGGAGAGGTGAAGGAAGAAGGCAGGGTTTGGTCACAACCTGGATGTAGGGGGAGAATCCTAGAATCATAGAATATCAGGGTTGGAAGGGACCTCAGGAGGTCACCTAGTCCAACCCCCTGCTCAAAGCAGGACCAACACCAACTAAATCATCCCAGCCAGGGCTTTGTCAAGCCTGACCTTAAAAACCTCTACGGAAGGAGATTCCACCACCTCCCTAGGTAACCCATTCCAGTGCTTCACCACTCTCCTAGTGAAAACGTTTTTCCTAATATCCAACCTAAGCCTCCCCCACTGCAACTTGAGACCATTACTCCTTGTTCTGTCATCTGGTACCACTGAGAATGGGAGGGCAGAGGCAAAGAGGACCCCAAGGTTGTGTTCTTGGGCTTGAGGGAGGATATGGGTGTTATCCACAGCAATGAAGACTGAGAATGGGGACGGGAGAACCACAAGGGGTGAGAGGAAAGATCAGGACTCTCCTCTCATCACACTATAATACCCGTGTGACTCCATTGATGTCAATGGGGTTACCCAGATATAAGCGAGAGGATGATCAGGTTTAAGCCATGTTGGCTAATAAAGTTTTGTCATTGTAAAGTGAACTGCAATTTTGTCTGCTCAATATGTGTCATGCATATTTGCATAACAATATATATGGAATAATAGTATAGGGCTGCTGTCACTTACGGTCCTTTATGAAAACAAGATGTGCACCCCATAGCCTACACCAGTGAGCCAACATTTTAAAATAACTAAATGAGAAATATTATTTAGAGCTGCCTGCTGAGGGCTCCATTCACCTTCATTTCAGTTGGGGTGTGATTTATGGTTAAAGATTTTATGCTGAAAAATAGAACAACCAAGCCCTCATTCTTAGACATTGTCAAGGATACAGCTTTGCAGACATCTCTCAGCTGGCACGGCAATTTGTCATTCTTATTAATTTTCAAAGGCTTCAACAACTAATTGCAACTAATTGCTATTATTGATCTTTAATATTTATAAATAATGCACCCTGCTGCTTTTCAAATTATTGCTTGACACCTGCAATTAGAAAGTGACACACCATAGAAAACTGTATTTCACTGAACCAAAAGTCAAATTTTGCAAAGTGAACTGAGAGTTTTAAAATAGATGTGATTAAATACCTACACTGGGTGAAAGTATACCCGGTACTAAAGGGCTCTTCAATCTAGTGAAGAAAAACATAAAGAACCAACGGCTGGAAGTTAAATCCAGGCAAATTCAAATGAAAAATAAGGCACAATTTTTTTTTCCAAGGAGGGCGACTAACCATCAGAACAAATTACCAAGGGAAGTAGTGGATTCTCCCACTTTTGGACTGGATGCCTTCTGGAAGAAAGGCGTTAATCAAACACAAGTTACTGGGTTCAATAGAGGGTCCTGTGGCACCTTTAAGACTAACAGAAGTATTGGGAGCATAAGCTTTCGTGGGTAAGAACCTCACTTCTTCAGATGCAATACTTCTGTTAGTCTTAAAGGTGCCACAGGACCCTCTGTTGCTTTTTACAGATTCAGACTAACACGGCTACCCCTCTGATACTGGGTTCAATAGAGAGGCAATTGGATACAATTCTCTGGCCTGTAGGATGCAGCAGGTCAGACGAGATGATCTCATGGCCCAGGGATTTCCCTACAGCCCCCGTGAATTTTCCCAGCACCCCTCCCCCCCCCCCAGTTTTGTGAACTAGTTACGTGCAGTGTTGCCAATTTAGTGATTGTTTGGACATTTGAATTGAAATTGAAACATTAATACACACTTTAAAAGCACATACAGTGTATGATAACACATGTGTATCTGGAAAAGTATAATAGATTTGAAAAGTATGCACATAGACTAGCTTCCTTATACAGCTGTTGTTTTTTATGACAATGTCAGTGCATTCATTTCGGTGAGGTTGGCCAACCTAATAATTTCAAATTGTGTTTTATAAACAAAGTCTAAATGTATCAGAGGGGTAGCGGTGTTAGTCTGGATCTGTAAAAAGCAACAAAGAGTCCTGTGGCACCTTATAGACTTTTCGCATGCGTCTGACGAAGTGGGCATTCACCCACGAAAGCTTATGCTCCAATACATCTGTTAGTCTATAAGGTGCCACAGGACTCTCTGTTGCTTTTTATAAAGTCTAAATGAGCTCTCCCTGACAGCTAGGGATGAGCTGGGGCTGGGGGGGAAAGGGCTTCAGGACCAGGTTGTATTTACATTCACACCTAATCTACCTAGGTACCCAGCAAACAGAGCTGTGTTACCCAAGTGATAGATTTTGGCTGGGGTTGGGTTACAAATCACTTGCATGCGAGGGGGTAATGAAATGTTGTTGTTCATATTGTATGAGTAAAGGGCAGTAGAACTGTACTTAGCCTGTGCTGATTGAGGGCATCAGGAGAGAGGGTGGGGACAGGTGTTTTGCTTGATGGTCTGCCTGAGTCACAAGTACTATTTGATTTGCCCCTCTCCACTGTTTAAAGACAGAGCTGATTAGGCTCCATAGATAATCTTTTGTTTTGTTAAGTGACCACTACAGCTGAAATCACTGATAATCAGGTCTAAGTGCTTAGACCAGCTGTGGGACAGTGTTTCTGTGGAAGGGACGGCCCAGTCTGTACTAGCAGCAAGGTTCCCCCACTGAGAGCTCAGCTGAAATCACTGAGAGCTGGGTGGAACCTCAAGAGACCAACTAGCAGAGGTCACAGTGGCACGTGGCAGCAGAAGGTGATGGCGCAGGGCCATTGGCAACAGAGTGGTGGAGTGAACGGTGGCACAACGAACAACAGTGGCCAGAGCGAACCGTGAGCAGCTGGAGGAACGAGCAAGGTACCTTCTTGCCC